GCGAGCTGGACGACGTCATCCGTAGAGCTAAACGTTATCACCTCGACCTCCTTGTGATCTGAGAATCTCACATCTCTGACAAGGGAAAAGACGGCATGAAAAACGGATAACAGTTTCACTGGTCTGGAAGCCAGGATTCCAGATGCGAGGCAGGAGTGGCAATGTTGCTATCGCCACAAGCAGTGAAAGCCTTAATCTTCGTTCATTACACGGCCGACTAGATATCTGTTTGCGTCTTGCAACATAACAACGTGAATGTCAGCGTTGTTTTCGTGTACGTCCCCACCAGTGTTGCGAACGATCATAGGAAGAACGAGTTCTACGCGTATTTACACGGAGTTCTCGGTTCTCTTCCATCTAATCAGTTATCGATAGTACCGATGCAGGTCGCCTCGGAAAATTCCAACTGGCATCATGTGATGGGCAAGCATGGCTCCGGGACGACGAATGACAGCGGCTGTTAGACCTCTGTTTCAGACAATCTTGTTGCCGACGGTATGCTGTCTTCTCACCGTCAAATCCACCTGCTGATGGACAATGCCAGGCGGTTCAGGAGCTAGCTGAACGACACACTGGTCTGTTGGAAGTGGCGTAGCGCCATTCACGACACACAGGCACGACGTGGGGCTGATATTCGCTCGAAGGTCGCAAAGCTCCACCTCCAACTGGCTACGTATGGGAGAACAGCCCGGAAAGGCGCGAACGCCAGATTCGACACCAGGAAGTTTAAAGATCCAGAAACTTACGCGGCGTTCCCATCGAGATTAGCAGCGTATTCGCTGCTATAAAGAACGTGAACCGCCAGAACTCCGAACTGCTGTACCAACAATGCAAACAGGGTATCATTGGTGCCGCATTAGATATACTTGGACTATGCTAAAAGATGAAGCACCTTTGGGTCTCGGCAAAAACTCCCATTCTGCCAAAAAAGAAACGCGGCGAAGCAGGAGTTCTTACAGAGCCCTGAAAAGACGAAGAAGAGAGAGTATCGGCACCTCGTGAAAGCAGTCAACAGGGGTTACCACCGTGACAAGCGACCCCTTGCAGATTCAGACCACCGTCGTCGGAGAAGATGGGAGACCACTTCGATGAGCTCCGAAACCGGCTCGCTCCATTGGATTACCTCGAAATAGAGTTCGAAGACTCGGAAGAACTGGAAGATGACTGCTCCGTTCCACTGAAGAAAGAAATCCGAGATGCAATATGTCTGTGTCAAAGTTCGATATCTTGCGGGCTTGATAGGATTAGCGCAGAAATTTTGAAACTCAACCAGGCGAAACCCCACTGAACTGAATCCGTCTAGTTTTTGACAG